TCTCGTGGACGACGTGACTATGTGGCATTAGAGATATTTACTGCATCTCTAGCAGCGCCATGGTAACGGCTGCCAAAATCATTTTGCATGATGTCCTGACTACTCACACCTCAAGCAATAGGTGTTGAAATATGTATGATGACGGTTCTCAACATTGTTTATTGAGCGACGGGATCTAAGACAGGCGCAAAACGTCATATTAATTTTGACACAAGAAGATATAAAATTCGCTTGCAGAGTCAACGCTGGCTCGCTTGCTGTATGGAAAAACAATATTACATCAATATGCCTTCCCTTTGACTCCCACTAGAAAGAACCTTCAGCCCAGGGGTATTTCCTTTGCAGTAGACGATCCCCGACCCAAGCCCCCGAACCCAACGCCGATATCTACATCTACCACGCACACTTTGCAATGATACCCGTAGGCCACTTCCGCACAGCAAACTTTCTCGCCTCGTCAATGAGAAGAATACCCAGACCAAAAGTCATCGGCAGGAACCAGTACTCGACAGGGACAGGGGCCGTGGCGAGCGTCGTCTGGAACTCAGGAACGTACAGCCAGAAGATGGCCATCAGGAGCGCAAAGATAATGGCGGGGAAGAGGTACAAATTCTGTGTGCGCTTGTTGCCGATGGGCGGGTGCTGGAACAGCGACAACCGACGGGTGCGGATGGCTAGGAGGTTGAACCACTGCATGACGACAAGGTTGACAAAGTAGATTGAACTGGCGACATTGAGCTTCTGCTGATAGTAGTCCGGGTCGATCGATGACGGCAAGTTGCCAAAGGAGAACCAAATATCGCTGAACTTGATGCCGTTGCGCTCCAGGTACCAGTAGGACATGGCAAACGAAGACAGGGTCTCCAAGACACCCACCAGGCCGTAAGACTGAACGACGAGCTGCCAATCAACGAGGCGGTCCTTTCCGGGCACACGAGGCTTGCGAAGAAGCACGTCGGCCTCGGGCGCCTCGTAGGCCATGGCGATGGCGGCAGCGGCGTCGGTGAAGAGACAGATGATGATCATGAGGAAACTGCTGAGGATCTGGGGAATGCCGAAGAGAACGTTGGTCATGACGGGCCAGAACTCGGAGAAACTACCAGCCGGGAGGAGGTAGGCGACGGTCTTCTTGAGGTTGTCAAACATCATGCGTCCATACCGCAGGGCCTCGACGACGCTGGAGAAGGAGTCAAGCAGAACCATGTCGGCGGCCTCGATGGCAATATCGCTTCCGGAACCGAGGGCGATACCGACATCAGCAGCGCGAAGAGATGGTGCATCGTTGACGCCGTCACCGGTCATGCCTACAATCTCGTGACGGGACTGGAGTTCGCGGACGATGCGGAGTTTCTGCTCCGGCGTCGTGCGGGCGAAGACGATTTCCTGGTATTGAGCCAGCTGGTCCCACTGCTCTTCGTTGAGGGTCATCAACTCGGGCCCGGAGAGGACGAGGGCTTGACGCGGGGAGGACTCGAGGTCGTCCACGATGTGTTTGATGGAGGGGTCGACGTGGTTGACGCGTTGGAGAGCTGAGATGTCGTCGACTTGCGAGCGAGGAACACTGATGATGTTGCATTCGGCTGCGATGGCCTGGGCAGTAAGAGCGAAGTCACCAGTAACCTACACTTTGTTAGTCTTCTGTGTAACCTAGGAGTGCAACGGATTGCTGGGAGAAGCTTACCATGAAGATGCGGATGCCTGCGCCACGGAGGGTGTTCATAACCTCGGGGATCTCGGGACGAGGAGGATCGACAATTCCGACAAGACCGACGAGCGTAAGACCGGATTTCGCCTGGTTATTGATTTCCATCTCGTACGCGCTGTCAGACGGGTGACCCTTGAGAGCAGATCTTGAGATGGCCTTGCGAGCGAGCAACAGCACACGACGCCCCTGAGCTGACCATTCGTCCTTGATCTGCTCGATGGATGCACGAGTTGAAGGGTCCAGAGCGGTAGTGTATCCGGCAGGGTTAACGTAGTTGCTCAGTCTCGGCATGAGCACATCAGGAGCACCCTTGATGGTCAACAAGCTGGTTGCACTGTTAGATTATGCCCTTTGTTTGAAATCCTGTTCGACGTGGAAACTTACACATCGCCCGGCTGGAAGACTGAAGCAGTATCGGAAGGCAAAGCAAGCGACAGTCCATCAGGGTGTGACATGCCGAGAACGCGAATCATGTACTTGTTCTTGCTGTTGAAGGCGAGTTCGTACTTTGTCTGCCAGCAACGGCGTAGCTCAGCGGTCTGCCCCAGGCTCTCAGAAAAGCGCAGGATGGCCTGGTCTGTGGCATCACCGTGGATGACGCGCTCGTGGAGCGGCAAGCGGACGGTCGCGGCATCGAACTGGCCGGCGTTGCAGAGACCAGCGAGCGCACGAAGCTGCTCCAAGGAGTTGTTATTGGGGTGGTTGTGTCTGTCGACTGCGATCTTGTCCCGGGCACCGTCGGCCGTCATCTTCATGGTACCGATGGCACACTCGGTCACAATCATTTTGTTCTGCAAGATGATTGGTTAGTTCCCATACTATAACGAACTAGGTATGGATAATTATGCAACTTACCTGGGTCAGAGTACCCGTCTTGTCGGAACAAATAATCGAGACAGAACCAAGTGTTTCGACAGTCTTGAGCGACTTGCACAGAATCTTGTTCTTCCGCATCATGTTGGCGCTGATGGTCATGCTAGCCGTCAAAGCAACAGGCAAACCCTCAGGAATGAACGCCACAGCGACCGAGACGCAAGAGATGATCAAATTGGGAACGTTGATCCAGTTAGGATACTGTTTTCTAAGCCATGTACCCCTGTTAATGGAAAATTAGAAGTTAGCGTTTAGTTTTTTGTGCAAGACATGTATCTGGCCTGATGACATACCAAACAATCAAGACAAGCACAATCATGAGGAACATGATGGAGCAGATGATCAACACAAAGTGCAGAACTTCGCGTTCCAGAGTTGTCAACCCCTTTTTGGGCTCGTTGGTCAGCTTGGCGATGCGTCCGAAAATAGTGTTGTCACCGGTAGCCACGACAACACCAGTGCAAGTGCCCGAGACACAATGTGTGCCCTGAAGACCGATGCATCGAGTCTCGAGGTAGTTGTTATCGGTCGAGTCAACCGAAGCGGGCAAAGGGACAGACTCTCCTGTTGTTTTGTACTTTGTCAGTGATTTTTCCCAACGTCAGAATGGAAGGGAACCTCTGGACCACCAGTGCCTAATTTAACGAAAGCCACAAGAAGAAAATAACTTACCAGTCAAGATGGCTCTGTCAAACTTTGCGTCCGAAGAGACCTTGAGGAAACGCACATCAGCAGGCAATTTGTTGCCTGACTTGACAATGAGAATGTCACCAGGGACAATGTTCTCAGCCATGAGCTCAACTTGGTTGCCATCACGAATAACCATGCAGTTCTCAGGCAACATAGTCTTGATGGAGTTCATCACGCGCGAAGAAGACCAGTCCTGCCACATGTTAAAGGCAGCCTGGATGAAGAAGACGGCAAGCAGCACGATGGCCAGCGCCAAGTTAGCCACGGCGGGCGGGCTTCCCAGGGGCTTCCATGCGATGAAGACGAGGATGGAAGCCACGAGGAGAACTGTACCGAAGCCCTTGAAGAAGTATCCGAGAATGCGTTTTGTGTGGTTTGTCGGGGCCGGCGAGGGGGCGTTCTTGCCATAGTGTGCTGTGCGGCGCTGGACTTGGTCCGCGGATAGGCCGTCGGCGAGGGAGGACGACTGGCGTCTGAGAAGCTCGTCGACGGAGAGGGTGTGCCATTCGAGTTCCGAGAGTTCTGCAGAGATGCAGATGGTATTAGTCGCTGCAGTTCACGTCGATTTCGAAACACAATAGATCAAGACGAGGGTTTTTTCAGACTGCTTCACGAACCTGTTGCGACATTTTTGGCCTTCTTGACGGCTTCGGTTTTTGTCTTGTACTCTTCAATTTCAAAGGAACTTTTCGAAGAGGGTTGTTAGCCGAGAGAAAGGTGTTGATGAGGCATTTCTTGTCATTTGTTTTGTCGCATGTTGTTCCACACTTACACCGTGCGGTACTGGATAGGAAGCTCAGCGGCAGCGTCGATGGAGTTGCGTCTCGACCGGACCGAGTGTATAGACATTGACGTGTTTGACCGGGCATGATGAAGAGCCGGACCAGCGTTAGAGCGGTGAGCCTTCCTGCCGGCCTCCTCGTCGGCGTCCCAGCGAATGCGGTCTCCGGCCGCCTCCTTCTGGTGTTTGAGCTCAGATTCTTCGTCCATTTTGTCTATGCGGTGTTTTTTCTTCCGAGTTGACAAGTTTCGTGCAACGTGATCTCAAGTTAAGAATAAGGGTAGGGTAGAATAGGGTTTTCCGGGTTGTCAGGACAGCTCAGAGTAACAACGACAACAATAGGAGGGAGGCCTCACTCAGAGGAGAGGGAGAAAAGGGAGGGAACTGAGAAGTGAGCGAGTCTGTGAGCAGATCTGCACTGCAACGTCCTGCAAAACATTCAGGGTCTTATATACGAAATGGACAAGGCAGGGCCACGAGACAATAGACGGGACGGGAAGTCCAGAAGAGGGTATCCGTCTTAACCCTCATGTCTATCATGAGCTCTTGGCATTTGGGTATGCAAATGTTTACGAGAGACAATCAGCCTCTCCCAAAAGGTACGGTACCGTACACGCCGCACCGCCATTGCGGAGATTGCGGCATCCGCATTTATTCCATCACATGGCATGGGCTGGGACTCGACGCTTTGCTTGACTTGGATCGACTTGGGATGGTGTCAAGTAAGAGGAACACAATAAGAGCCTGTTTTGGTCGCAGGAAAGGGAGGGGGGGAGACATGGGAAACACCAAGCGAGCGGCTTTTTCTTCTGACTCCCGAGGAGTCGGTTGGATGGGATGGGATGGTATGGGCAGGGCGTATAGTCAAGAGAAGGAGAAGGGAATGGGGGTGCAAGTTCACAAGTCGCGTTCCCCAGTTCAGGGCAGACGATACAAGAGACAAGACAAGGCATGGGCGAGGAGACGAGCACGAATGTGGTGAGCAATGACAAACAGGAACAAGGCCCCAAGGGCCAAGACCTGGCCGTTAAAGGCAACATCAGCAACTACTCTTACGGAGCACTAGACGAACGACTCGACGAGCAGAGCCGACGGGCGACGTGCGAAGAAGGATGGAGGTTGGACGGCGGTTGTATCTACGGCGCCAGGAGGCGGTGAAATGGCACTGAGAATCCAACGTGCCGAGCGTACTGTGACCGACAAGTCTGACAGCCTACGGGGACACGGGAATCTCATGCCTCATGCGCAAGACTTTTTTTTTGCTCCGGCGCGGCTAAGCCAGGCCGGGCTGTTTTGAAATGAGCAGGGCCAGCGAGCAGAAGAGAGGTGTCCAAATCAAGAGCGAGAGGCGTGTCACAGAAACAACGTTGCGTGCGGCCGCACCAAGGACCAAGGGGGAGAAGGGCACTGCCAGGAGGAGGCTCGGTTGCGCTTTGGAGGAGACGATGATCGGGTGGACGGGGGGTGGTTAATTGTCTGGCTAGGGGGGGGGGGGAGGGCGTTTAGAACGGGAAAAGGAAAAATAGAATAAAAATGGGAGCCGCAGAACTGAAAGAGAGCGGCTATGGTAGGTAAACAACGGGCCTGGTTGCGAAGGTTAATGAAAGGAGGGAAAAGGGTGCAAGTATTGAGGGTGATAAATCGCTCATAGAAAGGGTTGGAGGCGTTGATGCGAAATTACACGTTGGTGAAGTCTTGAGAGTTGGATATCCAAGTATCTCTTGGCGCAAGAGAGGCTCTCAAAGGACTTTGCCAGTGACAACCAATCAAGGTTTTGGCGCATCCTGCCCCGTGCTCGCGGCACTACGCTCGATACCCGTCCTCTACCTTGCCTTGGGTCCTTGGTCCCTTGGTCCTTTGGTTTATTTACCTACCTAGCCCTTCCTGGATCCGTACTATAGACAGTTACACTACGGAGACGGAGTAGATATGGATACCTATCACTGACCACTGACCAGAGATGGTTGACCAGGTTGGCGATGCTGACCACTTATTACTCGGCTTGGCTTTGGTGCGGTTTGTGGAGAGGATGTGTGGAGGAGGAGGAAGAGGGCTCCCGCGCCCATGTGCGTCCTGGTCCATGATCCATCCTCTGATCTTGTCTCTTGACCTCCCTCGGCCTCCATCATCTCTCCCGGGTCCCAGAGCCATGAGTAGTCCATGACAAGACTCACTGAGACACACAGGAAAGGTCCCCTTACCCTCCAAATGCCCCCCTACCCCCTACCCCCTTCGAGAGTCCACGTTCACGCCCCTCCCTTCCCTTGCCCGCAGAATCCGTTACCGTCTGCCCTCCTCTACAGCCCTGCATCTAGCTTTTGCACTCATCTCACTGGCCGAACCATCGATCCATCCGTCCATTCGAGATCCTCTCAGCTAGCTTACCGTGTAGCTTGAATCCAGCTTTGCTACCAGCTTCGCTACTCGAGTACCTTTGATAGATTGAGGGCAGAGAACCAACAAGATTGGTCCCGCTACAAGTTTCCATCCCTGATGATTGTCGGTCTGCCGCCGCTGGCTTATAGATTCTATATGGGAACAAGCAAGAGACACTTCTGCAGTGCCGCTGCAAAGCAGTCGAAAGGCGATCAGAGAGGAACGAAATGCAGGAGGGGAGACTCGAGAGCTTGCTGGCGCTGGCACTGCCACAATCCATCTGTCCCCTTCTGGTGCAAGTGCTCGACATGCTTCTTCTTACACCGTTTCTCCAACAACAACAACGCATTCCCATCACCAGTAACACTCACCCACCCACCACCACGGGGGACCGGCCGAACAGGCACAGCGCAGGAGCTGACCGCCGCTGCAATGTGAGTTGTGAGGTGTGGAGAAAACAGTGGCCATGTCTCGGTTTGCTGCAAGCAGTTAGCGGTGCCCGCGTCCGGGATGCCCACATCCAGAGAGCTGCTGGCTCAGGGCTGGCTGGCCTGGCTGCATCCTCTTTCGTCTCTGAGCCAGGTCGCTGCGTTCAAAGTGCCATCCATGATCGCAACATTCCAATGCGACATTCGTTACACAAGAAAGCTGGGGGAGCTAAGACGAGACGCATGCCGAATCTAGTCCTCCCTCACCCCCAAATCTTGTCTGCTCAGCTTCAACATCCCGCGTCGCGTCATTTGTCCAATTGGAGAGCGTTCAGGAGCCAGCTCCAGTGCAGCTCAAGCCAGCTATCCTCATGTTTTTCTCTCGTCATCTTCGCTGTGCGCCTTTTTCTGTTCACTCTGGGATACGGATACCCGAGGGATTACGGATACTCATTTGCTCTTCACGAACTCATCTTTGTGCGACTCCACAGCCCCTGGGACCACACTCCAAATCCAACCCGGCCCTTTCGCCGGCGCCCATGCCGGTCATCAATCTTACATTTTCAGGCACTTTGAAGTCGGCATGTGCCGATTTTTTGGGGAAGTTATTTGGATAAGCAGAGCCACCCTAACTCAGTGAGGTGTGCGAGGCGATAGCCAACTTCTAGAGGCTGCGGCGGCCACCACGCATTGCCCTCCAGCGCGTCTTTCCATGATCCGTCGATGCTTGTTTATTGCGCTCTCCCACAGCAAAGAAGCGGTGATGCCGCATCGCTTCGTCAAACAAGCTCATCCCGCTTCTTCGGCGGTCTGTTAGTCTGCCGCTTGTGAAACCGGCCTGGCTTGCCGCCTACCTACCTACATTCCCATGTGCCGACTCCTTTGTTGTTTAGTTCAATGCCTGCTTCTATTCTTGTTCTTTCTACCAGAAGCAAGTCCTCGGGCCGCGACTTGAAGAGCGAAGCAGAGACGTACTGAATTACATGTCTCGATGGCAAATCAGTGTGTACGTACTTACACTGCCACTGGCCTGCGATTTCCAAGCCTTTATTGTTCATCTACCGTAAAGCGATGCTTGCCGCATTTGCACCTCAGTCATTCAAAGCAAGGCGAAAACGAGAGAGATCCAAAACGGCCGCTCAAGATACACCCAAATCTGGTCTCTGACCGGCGATCGACCACGAAGAGTCTCCGATCAATACAAATCACCGCCGCGCCCTACTCCGTCCTGCGTATGTGCCAGTAGTGAGTGCCGACTTTAGGGCCTGGGGCTGTGCCCGTTCATCATTGTAATAACTGCACTGGGCAGACAGAAAAAACCTGTCAAACCGAAGTCAGGCTTGCCCCGTTGCTCTCGCTCTCACTCTCACGCTCACTCTCACTCTCATTCTGCTGTCCAGGAGTGTGTGTGTACTGGTCGGCGCCGAAACCCTGGAAGGAAGGGGAAAGTATCTAGCTACTACGTACGGAGTATAGAGCACTCATGCTGCTCCCTCCTCGGCCGCGCTTAATTTGGATGGGGGGTTTTGTTTTTTTTTCGCGCTGTTAATTTGGCTTCATTTGACGTTGACCACAATCAACGGCATTTCCCTCGGACTGGGAACCCCCCCCACAGTGAGGTGTAAGAGTGAGAGTGAGTGAGTGATAAACCCGCTGGACCAAGGTAGTGTCGATCCCATCACGCGCGCCCCCTCCAAAACTGGTCTTCACTGCAAAGATAGTGCGTCCTGCGAGAGAGAAAAATGTTCAAGGCCGGTAGACCCAGTCCCGTAGGCGGCCTCCAGCTTCTCAACCATGGCTCATCCCAGTTCTCTTCATCGTCGCGCCCGCGCCCGTTGGTTTGGCTGATGGGGATGGTCTCCACGTCCCACGAGCACCAGCAGCGGCGGCGCGAAGCACATGCCCCGGACACAAAATCCCTCTTACTAAACCCCCTTCAGCAACCAGCTACCGATCCCGGGGGCTCCATCCTCCATTCTGTGTGCCAGAGGATCCCCCATCAGAAATACATACTACGTAGAGCCCGGGCAACGCAGAAACAGCAGCAGGGCCTGGCAAGAGAACCCTGAGCAAACCCTCGGCAGCTTGCGTGAGTGAGAGGGGGAACGGACCCGACAGAACAGAGCAGGACCAAGAACCCTGGATGCCGATGCCCAGCAAACCCAGCCACGAGGATGAGCCATCAGCAACCCCAAACCGGTCAAGACATGCGCCTACATACGCAGAAATTCGGACACAGATGTAGAACGCCGTACTGAAGCAGACATACATCAAGTATACTTACGTACTCACAGGCAGCGCTATATAACAACCACCGAGGCGCAGCAGCTTCACAGTAAAGAAACTGGCTTGGGCCTGGCCGTCTCTCTCTTTTCCTTTCTTTCTTGCTCTTAGTCAGTCCGGCCGCTGGTTTCTGCATCAGCAGCAGCGTAATGGATCCCCGATTCATCCCCCCATCCAGTCATGGGCCTTCCCCCCCTCTCTTCCGGATGGAGAGACGAGAGGATATGGGGTAAAAGGTACGGCACTGCACTGCATTTGACAACCACACACCGCAGAAACGCCCGCACGCACTCGCTCCGCTCCCGGTATCTCCTTTGATGACTGGCTACTATTCACTCACTCACTGGAGACTGAACTGGACTGGTACTGGTACTGGTACTGGTGTATGATTTTTATTTATTTTTATTTCCCAAAATTTCTTTTGTTCCTGTTTCTGTCTGTGTCTGTCTCGGGGAGCTAACGGGGAGGCTACCGATGACTCTGGTTCCGCGCCACGGGCCACAGCTCTTTACGTCTGGCCCGTCGGTCAATGCTCTCTCTTCTCTTGCTGCCGCTTTGCTTTGTAGTAGGTAATTACTTGGAATTAGGTAGACAGTTCATCAGTCAGTCAGTCGCATGGACATGGGCTCGAGTGAGGCGTAGCATCATCCATCATCCATTGACAATTCTCCCATATGGTCAGCTCGGCGCGCTCCAGACCGAGTTGACCTACATTTACCTTACCTTACTTACTTACAGCTGCACTCCCTGGAGCAAAAGAACCCAAGCTGATTCAAGCAAAAGCACAAGCACGCACACGCACTCGCGCGTACGCAACCTCGCCCTCTTCGCCATCAACTTTTTCAGCGCGAAAGAAGCAGCACGAAGCAGCACCCAAAAACTCAAATCCAGAACGAAAGAAAGAAGTTCCCCTGCATCTCACAGTTAGTCAGTCAGTGGCGCTGCAACTTACTACAACACGCATCGCATGGCAGCCCATTTATCCGATCCCCTCTCCCAGATGATTCCTGGGAACTGGTAGATGGCCTCGTGCACAACACCGACACCAACACGCACACACACACAATACCTTACCCGGCCCACCCCATCCATCAGCCATCCTCCCGTTCCCGTCTACCGTCTCCTGTCGTGTCCAGGTATCCGAAAATTCCCCATTACTTTTTTTGACTTTCATCGCGCCTTTTTCGTTGATTCGGTATCCAGCTTTTTTGGATCTCTCGTCGGCCCCTCGAAATTCTCCCCAGCTTCCTCTTTTTTTTCTCCTCCTCTTGGCCCGCCTTCGCACCGTCGAATGACGTCGTTGGTCAAAGGGCCGACTCCGCTGCCGCTGCGAGCTGCGTGCTGCGCCTCACTCGACCTCGAACCCCGACTTTTCTGTGGTGCCTTTTTCGAGTAAATTTTCGCCCTCCACGACTCGACCGACTTCTTTTTGGCTGCCCTGCTGCTTGCTGCTGCAGGTGATACCTGGTAGTCAGTAGGTCAGTCAGGGTCACCGTACCTTTGTACTATACCTTTGTACTAGCCTGCCAGTCAGTCGTCCTTGACTTCCAGACTGCTGTTCATCCTGCATCCCATCTGTTTCCATTTGCTGCCCGCCGTTGCCACCCGACCCCATCGAATTTCTGTCGATTAGTCCTGTTCCCTGCCCACCACCACTGCCCACTGCCCACCCCCTCTCTGTGCGACACTCTCACCCAAAGTGTCTGTTCGTCTCTCCAGTTGTGCGGTTGCGTTTGTATAGGCAAATTCCCTTTTTTGCAGCAAACATCAAAATCGCACAACACCACAACAACAAACATGGTCGTCGGTTTGCTCAGCATCCCGCGGGAAATTCGCGACTTGATCCTCGGCGAATGCATCTTCCTTCCCGACCGCCAACCGCCGCCCAATCCCTCAGTCAGCCAGGACCGCAAGAGGCGCGAATACAAGGGCAAAGGTTTTTTCGATGGCCACGACATTTGGGTTGAGAAGAAGATTCACTCCCCGCCTTCCGGCTCCCCCAACACCAACATCTTCCTCGTCAATCGACAGATACACGCCGAAGCCAAGGCGCTGCTTGCGACAAGGGGGACGCATTGCCGTCTCGATGTAATGTATGTCAAAGAATGTGGCTTGTGGCCGACTTGGCTCGCGGTGCCAAGAGCGACCCGCCATGCCGACAGCGTCCGAGTCCAATTTCGAATTTTCGACCCCCCCTCCGATGTCAACCCTGACTGGAAGAACGAGGAACAGTTTCGAGGCGGTAGCGGCGGTCCGCCCTTCATCGTCTGGAATTTCTACGCCATGCTGTCTGGTTATTTGCAGTATGGCCCGACCGCCTTCAGTAGTATCGTCGCCGACCCGGCAAAATTCACCATCAAGAACCTCGTGCTCGACGTTCTGCCACCGCCCCCTGGCCAGAAGCACGATCGGCTCGTCTCCGGCGGTGCACCGCGGCCGCCCGCCCATGACATGTTTGAAAGGTTCACCACCATGGTCATGGACGCGGAAAAGCGAGAGAGCCGGGGGATCACTTGGCCCCGTCCGCCACAAGGCAAGGAGCACCTCATCCCGGCCGAGAAGCTGGCTTTCTTCATGTGCTGCCAGATCGGAGGTCTCCTGTCCATGTATCGTGATTGGGCCGACTTCGGCGCCGCCCTGTACGAAGGCATCGGGACCATTCAGATCCGCGTCAACGGCGAACTCAGACGCCATTTCGACCTGGACGAGATGCTCGCCAGGCTACCCATCCAGCCGATCGCGGCGTGGAACGAGAAGGAACAGCAAAAGAGACAGAAGCGCTTCGACGACTGGAAAGCCCAAGCGATAACAACGAGACAAGGTTGGAAGAAATGAGGGAAAAAAGACAACTTGGAATGATGACATGAAATGCCTTTTCTTTTTTTTCTTTTGCTTTGGCCGTACTGGCCACTAGAGGGGAGACTCCCTCTTTTGCATTGGGCAGCGATACCACCGGATAGAGGGCTTCCTTTTGGAATACGTCTTTTTTTGCTTTGGAGCATGGTGCAAGGTGCATGGTGCATGGTACAACCAGGCCGGCGGTGGTCGATCTCGGAGGGCCGGGAGAGAGGCGCTCGGCACGGTACCGAACGCCGAGAACGGAGTCGGAGTCGGAGGTGGAAGCCGGTCAAGAAATGTTGGTCCTGTTTTTTTCTACCGACATAGGCCTTCTACTGCAGTTCGGAGCCGAGCAATATCAGCGTGGCTTGCCTTGCAGCATCCACCCACAACAATCTGTTTCCACAATCCTCGAGATTCGGCGTTAGAGACCACTTGTGAGAGTTGGGCTTCCCATGAAGTGGTAGGGTGTTGTGATCCTTGGGGAAGCTCCCACTTTTGGGTCGTCGTGTTGTAGACTTCACCGTTGGTGCCATCCGGGTAGAGAATAAGGGCGGGAGCGGCGTCGACGGCGCCCTCCTGGATGAGTTCCTTGACAGCGGATTCGTAGCTCTGAATGAGAGACTCCAACTTCCACACCTTGGTGCAGTTGATGCCGATACCCCAGGGATGGCTCGTGGCAACGTCACGACTGAGCATAGCCGTCACAGCCTCCTTGATGGAAGAACCATCGGGAAGGAGGCCGTCCTCTCTCGGGAAAAGCGTCGCGATCCAGAAAGGAATGGGGGTCTCAGATGCCAAGACTTGGGTCTTATCCAGGGCCTGCCTCACGGCCTTGATCTCATCTGTACGCGGGATCGTCTCAATGGCGACATAGCTGACGGGGGAAGAGAAGGCGCCGGCAGATTGGAATAGCTGGAGCCGCTCGGCGTGCCAGTCACGGAGCTTCTCGAGAGTATCGTGGTCGGCGTCATAAGCGCCGCTGTACTCTTGGCCAGGGATCATGCAAGCTCCATAGGGACCGACGCTGAGAGCTGTCTTGCTCCCTTGGGAACGTCCCGCCTCATCGGCAATACGAATGGCGTCCTGGATGAAGTTGCCAATGTTGGCTTTGTCGATACCGTTGGGGAACTGGGCAGTGCGGGTGTTGGCAAAGCCGTGAATGGATAACTGGTAGGTGGCAGTGAGGATGATGTCAACGGGTACATCTCCAAAGTCTTTCTGGCAGGCGAGCAGGGTGTCCTGGCCATCGACTAGAAGATGGGTAGACCAGAGAGGCGTGGTGGCTGACTCGAACTTGATGCCGTACTTGTCTTCCAAGGAAGTGCCGAGGCCACCATCGAGGATGAGGACCTTGGATTGCTGGGAAGAAGCGGAGGCAGCCATAGTTGGTGTAGGTGAAGTGAAGCGAAGTGTGTAGAGCGTGTACTTGGTGGGTGTAGTTCCAGGAAGGGCGAGGTGCGCAAAACAAGGTTCGGACCGGAAAGGGAGATCTGATAGACGGATAGAGAGACTACCTAATCTCTGGTAGAATGAGATGAGATTAGGTTAAGGGTGAGACTGAATCCGGGGCCGGCGCGATCAAGACGAGAACGAGGACAAGAGAAAGAGGAAGAAAGAGTTGAACGCGCGGCGGGACGTTGCAAGTCTTGACGCTTGGAGGGGTGAGTATGTGTGTGTGTGTGTGTCCGAGTAAGTCGGGAATGGGGGGGAAACAAGAAAGTCTTGGGGTCTTGGGTCCTCGTTGGTCTTGGGGTCCTTTGGGGCGGGAAGAGGAAAGGCGAGGCCAGCGGAGACGCGGGCAAGGCGCGGGTGGTGACTGGGACGATGGAGGAGGAGGAGGGTCCGAGGGGATCCACACCTGGAGAAAAATTTGGGAAAGCATTACGACGACTTCTGGCTGACTAACACACCTAATTCCAGCTGCCAAGAGCCACCGGCAGCAACTTCCGTGTATTTTTACTCACCCCTTCCTCTCCTGCTCTTTCTCCCTCTTGTGCCTCCCTCAATAATCTCGTACCTTCCCTTGCTTCATCCAATGCCCCAAGCATCCCGTGATGTGGTACGTCACTGGCCTGAGAAAGGGAAGCCACGCACAACTTGAACAAGGTACGAAATACCCCTCTTGCTGCAAACTGGTCACAGAAGACAAGGTACCTGGAAGAAATGGAAGCATCGTGACTGGCAAGCGCGCCTGCCGAATGCCAAGACGGGATGGGACTTGCTCGGTTTAGCATACCCGTATCTCATACGTACTCCGTACTCCGTATTCCGTATTCCTCCTACCTTACCTTTACCTAAGGTAACCAGGGCAGGTACCTCAATCTCGCTTCCAGATTCCGTCACAAACCGGATGACACCGCAAAACGGCCGTCCTCCAATTCAATCCAATCAGCACTCGCCTGATTCATTCAGAGGTTGAGACGCGCAGCATGAGATCATATCCAACCGTGAAGCTCACACATTGTGTAGTATGGAGTACGGATGCTGCCACGGGCTCAAGGTTCTGTCATCCCATCTCATCCGCTCTCAGATCATGGGGAAGATCTTACTTCAGATGCGCTAGGATTCACTCCATGTAATTGATGCTGTCGGTCTAACTCGTTCTCGCCCGACCCAAACCTCTTCATCCCACCGGCATATTCTGTCTCCCAACGCCCCTTTGTGGATTAGACTTTCCATAGTATCTGTATGGACATGTGAGTTCTCACATTCAAGGTCATGTTTTGACCATTTCTGTGTGTAATACCACGTCAACTTGCACATGAATTACACCTGCCCTTCATTCTGGTTTTTACAGGTAGTCAGTGAGGAACAGCACGAGACCAAGACCATCCCCACTTGATCGATCATGATTCTATCAACAAGGCTCAAGAAACCCAAGAAAGTTCAATGATACTTTCCACTGCGTTCATCACAACAGCACCATGTCAAGTTGCAACCCCAGAGACTGGCCGGCGCGAGTTACAGTTTCCTAGCTCCCGCTCCTGTCCTGGCGGTTGGCAGGGGTCCTCCGAGCCCTCGCTAGCCGATTTCCGAGCGGAATGGGGCTGCTCTTTGGGCTGATGCAACGTCATTTAACTTTAATTGGTGACGAATCTGAAGAACCCCGCCCTCGCCATCTTTCCCCGCAGGATGGCGATCTCATAGACAAGCTTTCTGGATCATGGACTTCGTATATCCGTACGAATACAGATAATGGTGGGGGGTTTTTTTTTCTTCCTTAAATAGCGTTGCAACTTAAACATTCATTATTAGAATAAGAGTCGTTTCTTTAGGAGCTCGAGGAATTTTCCCAGGAAAGATGGATGCCTCTCACTTACACCGGCTCCCTGAGCTCGGTATCGATAACTGTCCCCACAAGCACATGTCCCAAGCTGCATGCATCCATCACGACACTAGTGTGGTGCTGAATACTAACGACATCTTGGCTCCGTCAACTTAAACCCGTGCTCAAGTCCCGGCACCCCGGAAGATGGGAAACACAGTTCAACGGACCTTGGCGGGCCCACGGTCAATTCACTCGGCGTCCGGCACTCCCCCGCCGAGCCGGAAGCTAATCGAAACGGAGCCTGTCAACGGAAGGGCGCGCTGGGCGTCGGTGGGGCACATTGACTTTTGACATCCATTGATGACCTCGCTTTTCGCCTCTAACACCAATTCAACTCCTTGGCTCATCGCATAGTCTTCCCTTAAGGAGAGCACAATCGCACCAGGAGAGAAGGCTGTTGATTCTTCGCATTGTTCACCGGAAAGCTCATACCAAGCCAATACTCGCCGTCATGTCAACAACCACAACAACAGCAACGGCATCAGCCTCAGCCTCCACCTCAGGCATAGAACTCCATCCCCTCCCCGCCAACGTATCCCAAAAGCCCTCCCCCTTCCCATCCACATCCCAAAACGTCGACGACGCCACAGATCCGATCCTCCAAGCCTCCCGCGAAGCAGACTCCACCGTCCCCGAAGGCGGCTACGGCTGGGTCGTCGTGGGCGGCTGCTTCGTCGTCGCCTGGTGGATCATCGGCACCTCGTACTCGTGGGGCGTCATCCAGGGCGCCCTCATCGAAGATGGTCTCGGCACCCCCGCCGTGCTCTCGTTCGTCGGGTCGCTGGCCGCGGCGCTCATCTCGGCGTTGGCTATTGTCAACTCGCGCGTCATGAGGCGGATCGGGCCGAGGAAGACGGGGTTATTGGGGATTTCGCTGTTGGGGGTGAGTGAGTTGCTGAGTAGCTTCGCGGTCAAGAATGTGGGCGCCATGTTTGCAACGAGCGGTGTCATCATGGGCCTGGGAATGAGGTACGTCGTCCCTTCGTGAAGCTTCTTTGCGAATTGTATATGCTAACAAATCGCCAAGCTTATGTTTCACGGTGAGCTGAGCCCCTCAAACTAGCCCAACGCTTTGAACTTTGTTGCTGACGAGATCGTCTAGATCGTCTCTGTGGTCCCGGCACAGTACTTCAGCCGCAAGCGCGGCCTTGCCAATGGCATCGTCTTCGCCGGCGGTGGTCTCGGCGGCGCAGTAAACAGCTTCGCCCTCGACGCCCTCCTCAACCATCTCGGATCCGCATGGGCCTACCGCGTCCTTGCCCTTGTCACCCTGGCCACGGGACTGCCAGCAGCATGGCTCATCAAAGAGCGCGTTCCCGTCCGCAGCACTGGGTTCGTCGAGTGGTAAGAAGCCCTCTTTTCTCGTTCTCGCCATGATCTCCAAGATGGAACATGTATCAGCCACTAACACAGAAATGCAGGCGTCTCTTCAAATCCCTCACTTTCGTCCTTGTCTTCCTAGCCGGTGCAGTCGGGACCTTCCCCCTCTTCGTCCCTCCCTTCTTCCTCCCCCTCTACTCCAAATCCATCGGCCTCTCCTCCTCGACGGGCGCCGGCCTGGTAGCGGGGTTCAACTTCTCTTCTGCCATCGGCCGCATCTGCTGCGGTGCCTTTTGCGACGCATTTGGCGCGCTCAACGTGCTCTTCGTCTCCCTGTTCCTGTCTG